TTAATGAACAAATAGAAGCGACTATGATTGATTGAGGAACCAATCACACATGTAGGTCTCAGTGTAAAAGATGCCATACTAAAAGGTTAAAATGAAACCCAGTTGATTATTATATATGATGATAAACAAAGTAAGAATAAATTTAGACTGTTACAGATATTTAATTTAATGATAAAGGCAATAGGGTTTCCCCTATTGATCAAGTACAGAATAACAATTATTTAAAAATTAATATAATAAAGTTGTTATTCCAAATATTAAGATTTCCTGACAAGGTGATCTGTGCATTCATTAGAATAGAGTGTGAGTCTTCTTAAAAAAGTGTAAATGTTTAACAAACGAGAACTAAAAATGCAGTACTAAACTATTGAAAGTCCCAGTCACTAACTGATTCTACATAAGAAATCACAGCTATGGGGCGATAGGAACATGGAAAGGTTTTACTACTCTGATATACACAGCCTTCAAAGGTAAACAGAGCCACTGTTTTTATTAGGAATGCTACACAGGGAAATGGCTGGGTTGCCGGTTATAGATCACTTACCTTGAAATTATATTCCCATTTACCTGCTTTCTGATAAAGGTAAATAAAAGAGGAGGTATTAAGTAAAGTCTAAATATAAGCTTCCGTGATTTCAGTAAATATCAATCCAACATATTTTACCTACTGACAAAAATTCCTTATATTGTGACTGTGGGAAACATTTGATACAGATGAATAACAAATTCCTAACAAGTATTTTCTCAGTCAACTTGCTCAGTCACGTGAAAAACAAGACTTATTTTTAGCACCATCTTTTGCTCTCTTTTTTTTTCTTTGTTACATAGTGTTTGTTGAGGATAAGTGTTCTGTTCTAAAATTAGATTCTCACACTGTATGTTGTTGCCTAGATGTTCAAAAAGAAATGTGATTATGTGCACTTATTGCAGGCAAATGTAAATTTCAAATGGATTGGAACACAATTGCAATGTTAAAACAGAATATAAGAAAACTCGAATAAAACAGAATGAATGGATGACAGACCTTTATAAAAATAATTTCTAAAATGTCTCAGTGAGATGAAATTGCTTGTTTTTTTTTTTTTTTCCTTTTTGTTTTAACTCTGTGGCAATGGGCTTTTATAGCACCAAAGTGTTCAGGTAATTTATTCAAGAGATTTAAACCAGGTGGGGATCTTGCAGTTTTGCTAACGATGCTCAGTTGCCCCCCAAATCAAACATGTTTGGCCAGGTATAAAGTGATACCAAATTAAATTCACAGTTGTGTTATTTAAGAAATATTTACAAGAAAGTAGGAAGCTATATTTCAAATCAAAGTTGGCCAAAGATATGTATTTATTATCAACATATGCTTAGTTTTATGCAAATAAAAAAAGAAGCAATTAGATAGTAATTAATACATAATGAATATAGAGCTAAAGTTTATAAGCAATTAGACATACTGACAAAATAGTTTTATGACTGCCTGTTTGTCTAAACAGACAATATTTATTGCAGAACGTCTTTCCAATTATTAAGGAAAGGAGAAATTCTATGTGAATAAAGTTTGGTACGACAAATAATAGTATTTAATAATTTCTTTCATTTGTAATACTGTCCATTTAGCTTATTACATCATCATCACTGAAAGCATCTAATTCTTTCTGGTTTTTCACTGACTTCAAGAGGCAATATAGCGTAGTGGAAAGATTGCTGGATTTATTGCCAGAAAGCTGGCGTGTAAAAACCTAGACAAGGCACTGCAACACTAGAGCTTCTGATCACTAATGTGAAGAACACAAATTTTAATAGTAGTATCTTATAGGACTGTCATTAAGAATTGCGTGAGAAAACAAATAAAATTATAGACACTCAATAAACTTTATTCCTTTCTCTTCCCTCCTCCCCCACCTAAGAAGTAAACAAACCAGTGCAGCTGGATAGACTGCATGTTTTGAGACTTTACGATACTGTTTCAATTTTCCTCTGGATATTCCAACAATTCTGCTCCTATTTATGACTTGTTTTTCTAAGACTGAAAGGACTACGGGAAATAAGGTGATGGAATATTTCAACCGTTCACACTGTGAGATTCCCAATTGTACTGATAACTAGCTTTCTTTCATTACTGTATTAGGACCTAAATCCTGTCTCTGTGGCTCGCGATGTGATCTTTGCGCTTTAGTTTCCTCCTGATAAAGGCTGAAAGAAGAGAACTTTAAGGTAAATTTCAGCTCTGTAATTCTATAAACCCCACCAAGTTTCATTCTGCTTTGAAAGCGCACCACCTCAGAGGTTTCTCAAAGAGGAATAAATCTGCCCTTGATAGCAACAGATAAAGAACTGAACTAAAGAGGTAGCAAGCTGCACTTGTCTGCTTTCCACTGGTTGGAATAGGAGCAGACTAGAGCTACTCATCAGCTTCTCCTCTTTCCCATCTCAGCACCTCTCACTCTTCTGCTCACTTTCCCTCCCCAATCCCTCCTGGAGACCTTGACATTCTCCCAAGTGTACTTATGCCTTTCCATAACTTTGCAATATTTCTCAACAGTGTATAGAAAAACTAAGGAAAATAAGTGGATATTTGGCCACTGTCTAGACCTGTCCTTCTCAAACTTCGATGTGTACATGAATGACCTGGGGATTTTGTTAAAGCACAGACTCTGATCTATGTGTGTTTAGGGTGGTATCTCAGATTCCTAATTCCTAACAAGTTTCCAGGTGACGTTACTGGTCCTAGAATCACACTTTGGGTAGCAATGGTTGGCTCTATTCTGTAGACTAAAGTGATCCTAAACCTGAAACTTAAAGAAAAGGTAATAAAAATAAATATTATATTTCAATTTCATTAAAACAAATCATCTCCTTTTTTCTGACTTCTTCACAAATAAAATCAGTATTGTCTCAAAGCTGAAATTTCCAGAAAGGCAATGCATTATTCTTATAATTATTCTATTTTCACATGACTTCTCTACATTTTGATTTATACATTTTTAGATGTGGCAAAAATATCTACATTATGATTGGAAATTTTGAATTTAGACAAGTGTAGCATCACAATTTAATTTTCAAAACATAAACACATAGGAGAATAAATTAATCTATATTACGTAACTATTAGGATGATTGGATTATTTATTTAAAAATAAACATTCCTCAATATCTGTGGCTTTTTTGTGTGTGTTCTAGAAACAAAGTTTACATGACACAAAATACTATAATGCTCTAAAAATACTGCAATAATTACTAGTCATCCAAAATAGCAAATCTGAAAAACTATTTCTTTATTTTAGGTGAAGCTATCTATTTTTTTTTCAGGTTTTTTTCAAAGTCCCTTACTATTAAATAATCTTGCTAATGGCTGATAAGAATATGAACAAAAATATAAGCCTAATTACCAACAATATTTATTTCAAAAACAAAAGAATTTGAGTTATGACTATGAAGCTATTTTCCACTCAAAAAATTATAGAAAAGTTTAAAGATTAAAAGCGGAATTTTGAAATACAATACTGCTTCATCTTACAAAAATATGTACACTCATTCTCCTTTCATTATAAATACGCTAGATTTCTTTATTTTTGGCACAAGCCCAATAAAGTCACGGGTTCCCAGTGAAAACTAAAGGGCAACAACAACAATAACAAAAAGTTTTATTAAAAAAATATTACTTGCAGGATCTCTCCTTTATTTGTACATTTTTATCTGTACTGTTCCTCATAGAAGAGATAGGGAGCAGATTAAGGGTCCAGGTTTACCCACGTGCATTATTTGAGGACATGACTTCTTCAGGCTTAATATAAAGAGTGGTGATGGTAATAGTTGAAGAGTAAAAAATGGTGGTCAGACAAAGTTATAAGGTATTGAGAAGATAAAAGAGTCTGAATAGAACATAGGAAGGATTCAGGGTGTTAGTCCTTAATTATGTTCCAGAAAAGACTATTTCGTGTCTTGGTAAGAGCTTGGTAATGTATAAACTTTACGGCCAAATTTTAATCCTATGTAATCAGTTTCAAATCCTATAAGAATTCAGTAAGTTTTCCTGATATTTCACATAAGAAACTACATTGTGTAAATTACAATGAGATTCAAAGAGTTTTGAAAAAGAAGATCTTGTTAAAATATGAATAATACCAACAACTCTGTGGATTGGTTTTTAAAATGTTACTCTTGCAAAGTATTTTAGGCTCGCCTAGAACACTGCATTTGTGAAATTAATTTACCTCTATTGTATTATATATTTTGTAAGAATAAAGTTTATTTCTTATCTTAAATAAGTCACCAAGAATTTAATAATGTGGAAAATGTAACACAACCAATTCATTTTGCTAAGCAAAGAGAACTGAATGAAATGAAGCTGTTTCAAGGCAGCTTCCTTACGCGGAGGAAAATATTTCTTTTTTATTAGCTCCATCTGATGGTTGATCTGGTTTTTACACAGTGCCTGGCTATAAATTCCCCATAGTAATTTTATCGTTTTTCTCTCCTTCTCTTCTATCAGGAAGATGTGCTATGTTGAGAAGATGCCACTTAGCTGATTATATACCTAACTAGTTTATCTTACAGAGTATTTATTATTATAAAGAGCATTCATACTAACTTTGTCAACTTTTTCCTTTTTCCCTTTAAGTTGAAAGCATATATATCACAGATTACAACAGCGTAAAATTTAAAATTTGAAAGTATGAAAATAATCTACTGTCCTCTATGCCATCTTCATATATACTTCTCAAACAAGCAAAGCTTACCCCTTGCCTAATTTATGTTGAGCACGTACATGGTGATAAATTTTACGCACATAAAAATGACTTTATTTTCCTCATACATGTTTTATATTAATGGACCAGTTTGGCAAAAACCTATTTATATGATATACCATCCTAATGTTATCAGATCTCAGCATGTATGCTTGAAAATACAGCTATTCCAATGCAGAAAAAAATAGCTTAGGATTTAAATGTATTTGAAATATATAACTTGACTTTAAGCATTAAATAAGTGAATTAAGAAAAATACTATACCTCGGCATCATATTCCCATAACTGATTTCCTCTCATATGATGGCATTTTAACATGATTACAGGTCCATTGAGTCTAGAAACATCCAGGCACAAGTCATCTGTTCGGATTTCTTTGTCGGCAGTATAAGAAAATACCTGAAAATATAGAATTCAGCTAATAAAATGATATCTACTTAAAAACAAAAGAGTCACAGTATAGCAGATTTACCTGTGGAAGATTTCCTATCATGTAAACTTATGTTTTCAAATGATCTCTGCTGTGTGATCTCCAGAAAGCTAGGTCACCTCTCCGAGTCCTTTTCTTCAACTGCAAAGTAGGGACCTTGTCATCTGTTTTATAAGATTTTGATGAAGCCTCAATTCAACAAACTAAATTGTTAAATGCTTATTATATGCTGGCACTGTGTTTCCACACTATACTTCCCTTATAATGCTCACAACACGTTCAATAAAATAAAGTTTGTAAATTACATGGAGCTCAATAAAGGGCAGCCCTTTTTCCTCCCAACTTATGACCCCCGACTCTCGAGACAATCATGTTTTTCATAAAGAAGTTTAAATCTTTAATTCAATAACATAAGTACACTACATAAATTTTATTAAATATTGTCAGTGGGTTTCTGAAGCTTATAGAATTATCTTCTCTAGAGATCTCATTAAAGGTAGGCTCTATACTTTCTCATATGGTTTTGGCTAAGCTTGACTACATCAATTCTTCTCAAAATATCCAAGAAATGTCAAGGTGGATTGTAGACTCATTAGTGAATTCAAATTGATATTGTAATAATCTCTATTATTTTGTTCCCAGTGTGAATAATTTATTTATAACATTGATTATTAAAGTTTCATGAGGGTTATTAAGTACATAATTACAAAGGTGGTTTTCTTTTGCTAGCCATGATAAGCACGGTTCAGGGTTCTGCGGGTATTCATTTCTTCCTGGTAATGTCAAGAGGTAGTGTAAGGAGGAAGGTCCTCTCAGGATCTCTTTGTTTCCCAAAGCAGTCTGATGAAATCTGAGGAAGTCAGCTCCACAAATCACTTCTAAACTCTGGAGTCCAAGTCTGTGAGCTGAACAAGTTAATCTTTAAAGGGTTTCTCTATAGCACTGCTACTCTGAGCTTCTGGGAAAATCACAGGAGGCGGTAAGAGGAAGCTGCAGAGTCAATGATGGAACCCAAGTACCCTCTTAAGCCAACATCTGAAAAGGAAATTCTTCACAAACTTTACACATTCTGCTCAAAAATATGAAAGCTTGAGAACCATATCAAGTTCATTTAATTGAACTATATAAAATATATTATACACTTCCTGTTGAAATTCAGAAAAATTTTTCCTATCTTTAATATTTTTAATGTTCATAGTTTTAGTGGAAACATGAGTAACCAAAAGAAGAACAAAAGAAACACTCATCAAAGATAAGTATTTGCATCCTTCCCAAACGTGTTTTTTTTTTTTTTTTTTGAGGAAGATTAGCCCTGAGCTAACAACCGCCACCAATCCTCCTCTTTTTGCTGATGAAGACTGGCCCTGAGCTAACATCCATCCCATCTTCCTCCACTTTATATGTGGGACGCCTGCCACAGCATGGCTTGACAAGCAGTGCATAGGTCCACACCTGGGATCTGAACTGGTGAACCCTGGGCCACCAAAGCAGAATGTGCAAACTTAACTGCTGTGCCATTGGGCTGGCCCCCAGTATTTTAAAAATATAATTACAAACATATTTAATTAACTGATTCTAATAGTAAACCTTAATCTGACGGAGGAAAATTTCTTTTGCCAATTATAGGGTTATTTCAATGTAAAGGATAATTTTCCACATTAAAATTCCTTTCTTTTGGTTGTATACAGATGCCAGTGTAAACAGAGACACTGAAGCATTCACATTCACCATTAATTTTGCATAATGTGTATAATCATGCCCTAAGCAGTGATTCTCCTCCGGTCTCTTACAATAGTTTGGAAACTTTGCATGTTGAAAGTTCTAGAGAGCAGTCTCCCACATCCTGTTCCTCAATTTCTAATTTTGATTCCTTTTTTTTTTGTCAATTAGCAGATAAGTAATTTTCATTCAAGAAAGATATATTTGTATAATATTTTCTGAGGCTATATATGCACATCTGAAATTATTTTTCTTTGGCCTTTGCACTTGAAAAAAACCCTAACTGATAGAATACTTGCCCCACAGATACTTTTTCTGGGGAAAAAACCTGTAGATAATGCTTTCATTATTTTCTGGTGTTAATGTAAAACCAGGATTAATTTGTTTTTCATACCCGATAATCTCATTTTTCTTTTTCTTTTTGGAAGATTAGCCCTGAACTAACTACTGCCAATCCTCCTCTTTTTGCTGAGGAAGACTGGCCCTGAGCTAACATCCATGCCCATCTTCCTCTACTTTATATGTGGGACACCTACCACAGCATGGTTTTTGCCAAGCAGTGCCATGTCTGCACCCGGGATCCGAACCAGGGAACCCAGGGCCACCGAGAAACAGAACGTGCGAACTTAACCGCTGCGCCACTGGGCCAGCCCCTCACTTTTTTTTTTAAAGATTGACACCTGAGCTAACATCTGTTGCCAATCTTCTTCTTCTTTTATTTTTTTTCTCCCCAAAGTCCCCAGTACATAGTTGTATATTCTAGTTGTAGCTCCTTCTGGTTGAGCTTGTGGGATGCTGCCTCAGCATGACCTGACAAGCAGTGCCATGTCTGCGCCCAGGATCTGAACTGGTGAAACCCTGGACCACTGAAGTGGAGTGCGCGAACTTAACCACTTGGCCACGGGGCTGGCCTGCTGATAATCTCATTTTTATAACTGTTTCTAGGATGTTTTTCATTCTACATAATAATAATAAACAGCCAGTACATGTCAGTACATACATCTTTCTTGATTTTATCTGGAAATTATTAGGTTTGTTCTCAATTATTTATCTGTTCTATCTATCATCTTGCTACCCATAACCGTCATCTTTGTGCTTTTTCATATCTCCAGCTGTAGGAGGTTCATGGAAATCACTTTGGCATGGACTAAAATATTATACGCAAAATACTTTGTAGAAATCTAGGTATGTAGACAGCATCCGGTAATTGATATTTAGTGTTATTATTCCAGTCTTGGGGCTAATCCCAGGTTGTGGCCTTGCATATGGATTCCTGCCTTGACAATATGCCAGTACCCAAAGAATTTTAGGACAGGATCCCGGCAGGCTTTGCTCTTGCCTGTCTGTGCCTACCCCTTGACCACCACACACACAGTCCTGAGGTGGCGCTCTAATACCTAAGGACAGACCTTCCTGACACATTTAGCATAGTGCCATCTCCATATATCATCACCCTCTAGATTAACCACTTCTGAGTTCCTTATGCCTGGGGGGACAACCTCACATCTCTTGCTAGATTTCCTAGAAGGCAGCTGCTCCCTATGGCTACTGCCTGTTGCCTGTGTCAATGCCCCATGTAGACTCTCTCAGTTGCTATGTGTAGTTCCTAGTAAAGCACCTGCCCAATCTGTTCTCCCGCTGTAGTTAAAACGTTTATGCCTGATCATAAGGTCAGATAAAATAGCTAAAACATGAACACACACGAAGCACTTTAACTTAGAGTCAACTGTCACACATGTTGATGACTTTAGCAGATGGATTCCTTCATTAGTGAAGTCTGATTGTATATTCTCTTACACAAACTGGAAATTATTCCTCCCTTTCCAGATACCACTCAAACTGCTTTATCATTGGTTTACCAATACTTATTCTTACTAAAACAAGAATTGAGTTACACAAACCATAGATTTAGCATTTATTTTCTGTTGCTCCAATTCCAGCTTGGCTCTAATGACAATTGATTGAATCAAAGTCTAATCACTTTGAGCTAAGGTGACTAGAAACAGGGTAAAATAATCAATCTTCTTATCCTCCCATCCATTATAAAAGAGGAAATAGAGAGAAAGTTAACATTAATTGAGCAACTATCTGTGTTAGAAACCATGTGGATATGATTCATATATATTATACTAAATAAATTTGCACTTTTATTACATTGTGCAATTACATGTATATTCCTGTGATGTATACCAACTTATAGTATTGCAAGTATAAGTAGAGCTCTTTATGTGAACCATATGGATGTAAGAGTTTATGGTGCTTTGAAAATTCTGTATTTTATACCTCATCTTCATATTTGTTTAAATGTAAAGTTATGAGCTATCTGGCATTATATATCACCTTCTGTAATCTGTTGGTCAAACTCGCTCTACGAACAACCACTAATGAGGCCATTTCTACTCAACTATTTTAAGTTCAGCTGTCTTATAAGAAGTGATGGATCTTTTGCTCCATTTTGTGGACCCTGTTAATTATCATGCCTCTCAAAACTACTCAGTTCACTGTAACAACTCAGTTTTTATTGTCTCCTATTGTATCAGTTTGCTAGGGCTGCTATAACAAAGTACCACAGACTAGGTGGCATAAACAACAGACATTTATTTCCTCAGAGTACTGGAGGTTGGAAGTCCATGATCAAAGCATCAGCAAGACCGGTTTCTTCTGTGGCCCTCTCTCCTTGGCTTGTAGAGGGCCGTCTTCTCCCTGCATCTTCCCATGGTCTTCCCACAGTGCCTTTCTGTGTCCTAATCACTTCTTATAAGGACAACACTCAGCTTAGATTAGGGCCCACCCTCATGATCTCATTTTACCTTCATTACGTCTTTAAAGAGCCCATCTCCAAAGATAGTCACATTCTGAGTTACTGGGATTAGGACTTCACCGTGTGAATTTTGAGGGGACACAATTCAGCTCATAAGAGTTTTAACTCTTTAAAATGTGTTGAAAGAGACAATGCATCTTTTTCTACTCCTAGATGAAAACTATAGCGTGTGTGATTTTTCTGCTTACTAGCCTAGGTCCCCTGGGGATTCAATTCAAAAATTAGAGTAGTTTGTTTAATATTACCAAAAGTCAGAGGGGCCAGCCCGGTGGCATAGTGGTTAAGTTCGCATGCTCTGCTTCAGTGGCCCAGGGTTCGCCAGTTCAGATCCTGGGCGTGGACCTAGCATCACTCATCAAGCCATGCTGTGGCAGGCATCCCACATATAAAAAATGGAGGAAGATAGGCACCAATGTTAGCTCAGGGCCA